TAATGTCATTCCAACCAATATCCCAGCATGTCTTTTTGTAAATATACACAAGTGGATTCTAAATTTCATATACACAGGAAAAAGAATTAGAATAGTTAAAGCAATTTTGCAAAGAAAAAGAAAGTTGGAGGGATCATACCGTCCAATTCTAAGCTTACTGTAAAGCTACTATAATCAAAACAGTGTGGTATTTGCAAAGGACTAGACACATAGATCAATGAACAGACCACAGAGTTCAGCAATAGACCTTCATAAATATTGCCAATCGATGTTAGATGAAGGTGCAAAAGCAATTCAATGGAGAAAAAAATAATCTTTTTAACAAATGATGCTCAAATAATTGGACATTCCTATGCCTAAATAAACCTCAACCTAAACCTCATAGTTCATATAAAAATTAACTTAAAATGGATCATAGATCTAAATGTAAAACATAAAAAGGTAAAACTTTAGAAGAAAACGTGGAAGAAAATCTTTGTGACCAGGGGTTGGACAAAGCGTTGTTAGACGTAACAGAAAAAACACAATCTACAAAAAGAAATATAAATGACTTCACAAACATTTTAAAAATCCTCTATGAAATGCACTGTAAAATAATGAAAAGACAAGTTACAGACTGAGAGAAAATATATCTAAATCATATCGATATGGAACGTGCATCCAGAACATATAAATACTTTCAGAACACAATGATTAGAAAACAAACAAAAACAATTAAAAAGTGAGCAAAATAATGCAGGACCAGAATCTGGGCCCCTGTGTCCAAATAACAGGATTTTCTCAGAGAATTTATCTGCTATTTCATGGAAAATTGTAAAGCAATCTTTTAAAAAGTTTATAAAAACCTTACCTTATGGTCAAACTAATTAAAACTAGGTAGATTTATAAAATTGTACTTTAAAAAGCTAGCTTTTATATTAAAGATCCCTAATACAAACATGAGATTTGGTTTTCTCTTTTGAAAAAGATTTTTATGTGATACTAAAAGATAATGAAAGGTTTTCGTGTGTCCCTTTGGGTAAATGGCAGGGAAAAGGGGAGGAGAGAGAGAGACAGACTCAGCTGGCCTCATGCCTTTTTCATTGGGTCTTGTTGCTTGGAAAACTAAGTCCCCTCTATCAAAGTAAAGGTTTTATCCTTTTAAAATTATTGAGTTATCATTTTGGCTAAATGAATGAATGACTTACGATGACCTAGGATTCTATTTTGTAACATCCAGTGTTTTAAACCTTTGATATTTGACAAACTTTCCAAGATAAAAGTATAAAGTATGCCTTCCTGACCTAATTAATGTTTTAGATATTAGGTCCCCTAAAGTCCAAAAAGACATATTTGGCTTATTTAATGTGTTAAAAATCATGCAGGAAACACTGTCAAATGTAAAACGGTGTTTATATTCACATAAGTACGTTATTAGTATATGTTACAAAATCGTACAAGATTCCTATAATTCTGATATGCCTCAGTATATGTTATTAGTAATAACTACAATTGTTAAGTTTTTGTGTGACACAGAGGTAATAAATGTCCTTGTAAATTGTGGAAAAAAAACTGAGCAAAAGATTTGAATAGTCACTTAACCAAAGACAATCTATGGATGACAGAGTAGCACACAGAAAGATGCTGATGAGCCAGGAGCGGTGGCTTACACCTGTAATCCCAGCACTTTGGGAGGCTGAGGTGGGCGGATCACAAGGTCAAGAGATTGAGACCATGTTGGCCAACAAGATGAAACCCCATTGGTTTCATGGTGAAACTGCTAAAGTACAAAAAACTTGCTGGGCATGGTGCTACTCACCTGTAGTCCCAGGTACTTGGGAGGCTGAGGCAGGGGGATCGCTTGAACCCGAGATGCAGAGGTTGCAGTGAGCCAAGTTTCCACCATTGCACTCCAGTGTGGTGACAGAATGAGACTCCATCTCAAAAGAAAGATGCTGACCACTGTTACGAAAATGTGAATTAAAACCACAAGGGGATAACATGACACGCCTATTAGTATGGCTGGAATGGTGACAATATCAACTGTACGTGATGCCACAGAGCCGCTAGAACCCTCATACATTGTGGGTGGTGATGCAAAACAGTATGACCTCTTTGAAAAACAGTTTCAGAGCGTCCTATGAAATTAAATATAGACTTACCCTACGGCCTGGCGATCCTCCTTTTAGGAATCTATGCAAGAGAAATGAAAACATATGTTCATATCAAAACTGGTACATGAGTGTCTGTGGCAGTGTTATTCATGATCACCAAAATCTGGAAACATCCCAAATGTCTTTCAGCGGCTGGATGGATAGAGAACTTATACATAAATAAAATACTATTCTCAGTAAAAAGGAATTATAATCACTCTCAAAAGCATTACACGGGGTGCAAATAAGCAAGTCTCAAACGGTTCCACTCTACGACTCTGTTCTCAAAAAGACAAAATTATAGTTATGCAGGACAGATCGGTGGTTGCCAGAAATGAAGACTGGCTAGACAGTGTGATTGTCAATGAATAGCACAGGAAATATTGGGGATGATTAAATCATTTTGTTTTTTTCTCTTTTTCTTTCTTTTTTTTTTTTTTTTGTTTCTGAGACGGAGTTTTACTCCACTGCCCAGGCTGGAGTGCAGTGGCACGATCTCGGCTCACTGCAACCTCCGCCTCCCAGGTTCAAGCAAGTCTCCTGCCTCAGCCTCCTGACTAGCTGGGATTACAGGCCTGAGCCACCACGCCTGGCTAACTTTTTGTATTTTTAGTAGAGATGGGGTTTCACCATGTTGGCCAGGCTAGTCTCAAACTCCTGACCTCAAGTGATCTGCCTGCCTCAGCCTCCCAGAGTGCTGGGATCACAGGCGTAACCTGTCCCACTTGGCCCATTTTGTATTTTGATAGTTGTGGGGGTGATAGTGGTTAAACAAATATATGTATGCATTAAATCTCATGGAAATGTACAAAAAATAAATTTTACAATGTAATTTTAAAATTAAATCAATGGGAAAAATATTTGATTAGATCTTTAAGATATTGGTACATGCAAAGGTTTCACAATTCAGACAGCAAAAGCACTATATATCCATGAAAGATGGACAAATGGGATTTCCTAAAAATTAAATACACTTATTTAAAAAAAAAAAAAAAAGAGTGACAAGTAGGAAAAGCAGCACAATTTAAGGAACTCATATCCCGAACAAAGAACCAAAAAATATATATATATTAAGAAAAAGCCCATTTTTTATTTTTAAATGAGCAGGGATCAGAACAAGCATTGCACAAAAGATATTCAAATTGCCAATAAACATAGGAAAAGGTGCTCAACATCATAACTTATTAGGGAAATGCAAATTAAAATACAAAAATATAAGAAGATATCACCTCAAACAGATTGCAATAATTAAAATTGAAAAAGCAACAGGAGATATATTCACACATAGAATTTAGTCACCCCTTGATGTCTGTGGGAAACTGGATATTCAGGTCTGTTTTTTGTTTGTTGTTGCTGTTGTTTTCTGAGATGGAGTCTTGCTTTGTTTCCCAGGCTGGAGGGCAGTGGTGCGATCTCGCCTGACTGCAACCTCCACCTCCTGGGTTCAACTGACTCTCCTGCCTCAGCCTCCCAGGTAGCTGGGATTACAGGCCTGCACCACCACACCCTGCTATTTTTTGTTTGTTTTTAGTAGAGACAGGGTTTCACCATGTTGGCCAGGCTGGTCTTGAACTCCTGACCTCAAGAGAGGATGCTCAGGTCTTGAAGCCGGCCTTGCAGAAGCTGCAGATACAAAAAAATGGATCCTCTGCAGTTGCAGATCCTGCACATCCCAAAAATAGTGTTGTATTTTCCATCTGTAGTTGGTTGAATCTGCAGCTGCAGAACCGGTGGATAGAGAAAGCTGACTGGACGATATTAAAAGCAAAAACAATACCAAAACTAAAAATGAGCTACTGATACATGTAACAGCATGGATAAACCAGGAAAACCATATTGAAGAAATAAAGCCAGACCCTAAAGCATACCTAATGTTTGATTCCAGTTATATGATGCACAGAACCTGACAATACAAATCTATACAGACAGAAGAGAGAATGGTGGGACCCACAATGGAGGCTTTGTACTGGAAAGGGCACAGAGACCCATTTGTGGGGAGGCTGGGAAGAATCGACATGCTGAGGCTGGGTGGTGGAAGCAAGAGGGTGCACATATGTAAAAGTTAATCTAGTGGTACTCTTTATTGGCTTGTATATTTTAAGAGAGAGGGTCTCGCTCTGTGGCTCAGGCTGGAGTGCAGTGGCGCAACCATAGCTCACTGCAGCCTGGACCTCCTGGGATCGAGGGATTCTCCCCCCTCGGCCTCCCAAGTAGCTGGAATTACCAGTGTGGGCTACCACGCCTGGCCTAGTTGTACTGTTTAGATTTGCATGTTTTCTTCTATTTAAATTATGCATCCTGAAAAAATGAATAAACATGACAGCCTTTGATGAAACACATCTGACAAAAAAAACCAGATTAAGACATTTTTTCTCTACAGAGGCATTAAAGAGTAAAATCAATTACGTTGTATTGTTTCATAAAAGTTTTACTTATCTTATAATAACTGTATTATATAACAATCACAATAAGGTAGGGTTTCAAGTGGAAACCGATTGCTGTGTGTCCGTGCCTACATGGACAGGGTATGTGAGGAGACCAGAAACTCAAGGGTTAAGAAGGTAACTTTTGGTGGTCGGGCACCGTGGCTCATGTCTGTAATTCCAGCACTTTGGGAGGCCAAGGCGGTGGATCGCTTGAGGTCAGGAGTTCAAGACCAGCCTGGCCAACATGGTGAAACTCCATCTCTACTAAAATACAAAAAAAAAAAAAAAATTCGCCAGGTGCGGTGGTGGGCACCTGTAATTCCAGCTACCAGGGAGGCTGAGGCAGGAGAATTGCTTGCACCTAGGAGGTGGAGGTTGCAGTGAATGGAGATTGCACCACTGCACTCCAGCCTGAGCAGCAGAGCAACACAGCCTGTCTCAAAAAAGAAAAACCAAAACCAAAAAACAAAACGTAACTTTTGGGTAATGGGGGTATAAGACTGAAAGTTCATTCCCTTCACAGAACTGGGGATGGAGAGGGAAGAGAAGGGTGGGTGGGGAGGGGATGGGGTGCAGGTGGGGATGCAGGTGTGGCGGGGCAGGACTCACAGGCAGAGGGGGATAAGTAGACGGGGTATGGGGCAGGCAGGAAAACAGGGATAGTCAGTGGGATGCGAGCTTCCAGAAGGAAGCTGACGGTGATGTCCTGCATCTGTCCTGCAGGGCTGGGTGTTCACACCTCGCTTCTGTCTTGAGCAGGAGGGGCTCAGTCAGGCCTCTCCGCCCTGCTCTCCTGGGGACCTCCACACCTGCAGAGCCAACACAGGCCTCAGATCAGCGCCGGCCACTCCAGTTCTGATTCCAGGTGGGGCAGGACAGCTCAGCCGCACCCGGCACTCAGGAGCTTCCTGGAGAGAAGCGGGCCTGCTTACCTGCTGTAGTAGATCCAGGTGAGGCCGTAGGTGAGGAGGAAGCCAGCCCCCATGAGAGCCCCCCCGGATCAGGGTGAGGACGAGGGGCCAGGAGCCGTCCTGTTTCTCAGGTACACACATGCAGGAACGGGGGCTTCCTGGGAGAAAGGAGAAGAAGGTAAGAAGCTGTTTCCAGGTCTCAGTCCCTCCCACCGACCTGAATATCTGACCAGGCTCTCCACCCTCAGCACCTGCCCTGCAACTCACTCTGCACAGAAAGGATGAAGGACAGGTGCTGGGAGCCCAGCGGGTGCTGAGCCCGACAGGTGAATTCCCCTCCATCTCCAGCCCCTATGTCAGGTAGCTCCAGGGTCCCAGATACTGAGGTCTGGGAGGGATTCAGGGCTTTACCCTCCCGGAACCAGCTCAGCGAGGCACGGGGGTTGCTGTCAACTGTGCAGACGAGGAACAGGGAGTGGCCTTCCAGGATGGGCAGTGACATGCCAGTGCTCAGGATCTGCAGGGCTGGGAAAGAGATTCAAGGCCCGCTCAGCTCCAATTCTCCCTGACTCCTCCCACTGAGCTGCAAGAAGAAAGACAAGGCCGGCTGGACTCCCTGGCTCTCACCTGTAATCCCAGCACTTTGGGAGGCCGAGGCGGGCAGATCGCCTGAGGTCGGGAGTTTGAGACCAGCCTGACCAACATGGAGAAACCCCGTCTCTACTAAAAACACAAAATTAGCTGGGCGTGCTGGTGCATGCCTGTCATCCCAGCTGCTCAAGAGGCTGAGGCAGCAGAATTGCTTGAACCCGGGAGGCAGAGGTTGCAGTGAGCCGAGATCGCACGGTTGCACTCCAGTCTGGGCAACGAGAGCAAAACTCCGTTAAAAAAAAAAAACAAAAAAACAAAAACAAGACCATGTGGTGAGTGCTGCGAATGGACTAGTCATCGGCGAAGAGGTGAGGACTTGGTGATCAGGTCAGGCTATCAGAAAGAAGGGTACTGAACGGAGAAAAGAGAGATGAGGCGTTCTCACGTTAAGGAGAAGCGGATGGGCAGCTCAGGTGCAGATGTGCTGAGAACTGAGACAGCCTGGCAGACCAGGAAGAGGCTCCTATCTCTGCAACCTGGCAGGGAGGACCCGGAGCTCCCAGGACACGATAAGGGCGGTAGAGGAAGCAGGCTCAGATCTTTTGGAGCCTTGGGTGCCAGGTTGAGGGCCTCAGGCTTTATCCTGGAAAGCAGTAGGGGGCTGTGAATAGGGGAAACAGAGTGAGAGCTGGACCTAGAAAAATCCAGCAGGATTTTTCTTGCTGGAGCCAAGTAGGTCCCCGACTGGAGGGAAGCGGGATGGGAAGAGGCTGGGGCAATGGGCCAGGCTGAGCAGGAGACTCGAGCTGGGCCTGGAACCAAGGGGAAGAGGAAGGAAGTGATGATGGGTGGAGTGAAGGTCTCAAGACTTGCCGACTCACGGAGCAGCTGGTGGGAAAGCACGCTGTCTAGAGCACAGTCCAGAACAGCCCGCGGATCTAGAGGGAAGGAGTAGCTGAGAGGTGTCCTCGGGAGGTGGCTAAATGTGCAGATCTGTGCCTCAGAGAAAGGGCTGGATGTAAAGTCGCGGGAGGCATCAGGACAGCGTCAAGGAGAGATTGGATCACGCAGGAATGTGAAGGGAGAACAGGGCTCCGGGGCAGAGCTTGGGGAGGTGAGAACGTTGAAGGCTCCCACAAAGGATGATCAGATAGAGACCAAGCAGGGCGTGCATCAGAGGACTTGAGGGCAGGCAGTAACTGAAGAAAAGGAAACAGTGTGTCCTCAGTACTCCAACTCATGGAGACAGAAAGTAGAATGGTGGGTGCCTGGTGGCGGGAGGGGGAAGTGGAAAGTTGCTGTTTAAGGGGTGCAGTTTCACTTTTGCAAGATAAAGGGAGCTCTGCAGTTTGGTTTGCAACAATGTGAACAGACTTAACACTGCTGAACTGTACTCTTTAAAATGGCTAAGATGACAAATAATGTGCCAAGTGTATTTTATCACAATGAAAAAAACATATTTGAAAAGGAGAGCGGAGAAAAGGGAGAAGCCAAAAGCAATACTAGGTCTGTTCATGCAAGATCTTGGTGACTGGGATTGGGGGGCTTGGGGCAGAGGGGTGAGGGAGGGTCTCCTCTCCCAGTGCTGAACCCTGAGCTTACAGAAGGCTCCCATCACAGCCCCAGAGGGAAGAGGGTCTTTCCTACCTGTGCCTGTGCCATTTCTGAAAAAGATGCGGATGGCAAGGTTCTGTGGAGCATCTGGGTAGAAAGATACAGCCCCAGCTTCAGAGGTGAGGAGTGGGACGGGCGTGGGCCTGGGAGGTACCCAAGGAGGGGCCGCAGAAACCCACCAGGTGGGAACGGCTGTCCTTCCTGCCCACACACCAGCGTTCCCAGGTTATCCTTCTCTTTCTCTTCTACACACACATATGCGCGCACACACACACACACACACACCCCTCACTCCCAATGCCCTTGAGGACCCAGCTGTGTCCCCGCCACCACTCACAGGAGACATTGAGCTGGACAGTTCTCTCCGTGGTCACCTCAGCTCCTCGGAGTTTCACCTGACAGGTGAGGTTGGTGCCATGGTCCTTGGGCCTTGGAGTGAAGGTGAGCACCGGGTTGGTCTCGGGGTGCAGGGGACTGAGGGCATCACCCGTCCAGGAGAATGTGAGAGGTCGTCCCGCTTCACAGGATCCTGGAAGGCTGCAGTTCAGCCTTGTGGGGCGGCCGGACTCCAGAGGCTCCAGAAAGTGGATGTCGGGTTTCTCTGTCAGAGCTGAGGAGGGGACAGGGAGATGCCTGGGCCCCAGGGTGTGGGGACGCACAGTGTGACCCTGACAGTGGCCAGGCCTCAGGCCCCGAGCTGCCCCAAGTCCTGCACCTCCTCCAACCGCCCCTGCCCAAGTCCCGTCCCTGTTCTCATTCGGGG